AAGTCCTTCGTTCATGGTCCCTTTTATTACGCTACTGTCCAAGTCTTTTGAAGTCGCTTGAGGTTTCCTTCCAAAATATCTCACCTTTTTCAAAAGGAATAAAACCGAACTTATTCGAGACGCTTTCGAATGTTTCCGAAAGCAATGCCCACACCCAGCGGTGTGCTCAAGCGGTGTGAAGTTGTAATGTACATCTCTTTGCAAAACGTGGCAAGTTTGGGATCCCATATTTTCATGTGTTTGCAAAGAATTCTTATGAAACTTTGCCTATCTACTACATTCGGCTTGATACGTCGAGCGGTGTGGTTAATCTTATTTGAAATGAAAGAGATTGAAACACATTACATCGTCGAAGTGGTCCTGATTAAAAATACGGATTGGGAATTAAAATGATGAATGATCAAGAGCTATTCTTTTGCCTTGGTTGTATAGCGATCAGTGAAAGCATTCCGTGAATACATATCGAGCACGAATTAAACAAATACAGAGTGATCGTATGTATAAATTAAACCTTGCTTCTTTTGTGGAAAGGACCTTTAAACGGGTGGTAAAGGTCTTTCGAAATAGATGGGTTTCTAGTTGTAAAGTTTTACTCGTCGTCAGAGTGTGTGTTGAGCGATCAGTGAAAACACAATGAAATCAAACTGCGTTAGGGTCGCCCATGGGCTCCTAACCCACTGGACATCGCTGCCGCAACACAAATGATAATCCTTTCTGTGTTTTCTTTACTTCTTAGAGCCAAGTCATGCTGAGCAAGGGATAAAAAGTGTTTCAGCTGTAAAGACTCTACAGGTACGGTACACACGAATAAAACTACTTGTACCTGGAAACTTACAAATTGCCACATTGGTTTACTGTGCATGTGTTCGTGTGGACATTAATTTGTACATGGTTGGTTTGGAAATTATGCATTACGAGAAAGATAATCTGGCTCGTTTTCTGCCCTGTTTTCAGGCGTGTTCTCTGGCCGGTTTTCTGCCCTGTTTTCTGAGCTGTTTTATGGCCTGTTTGCTTATCCGGCCTCCTTTCCGGCCTGCTTCCCGGCTTAACTGCCAAGCTGTTTTCCGACTCTAATAATCCAGGCATAGAGTACATTACATGTTGCGTACACCTTGAATACTCAAGGATTCTATGGCCCCACGATTACATATGCGAGACTAGAATGCTCTAGAACGATGTTTTTGCTTTTGCGCAGTGATCTTCTGTATTAAAAAATTGACACCTATCATCTCTGGAATTTTTTCCATCGGTTTTTAAGACTGACAAACTAATTAGTTCTTGTTTCATTCATAGGAATCATATAATCTCAGCTCTCCAAGGGAGTTAAGACAATACGAACGCAGAAAGCTGGTTGAGACGTTTTGTCAAAAGACTGGGCACAGTTGCATGCCAGACCCTTCTCACATTGCAGTGATTCCGTCTCTCAAAATACTTTACTGTATAACACCTAAAGCGGCTTCCAGGCAGTTGAGAGAAATGCTCTATTCATTTGTAGACATGCAGAAAGGAGCGCCTCTACTAAATCGGTATCCTCCCGACGAGCAAAGGCAAAAGTGGGAAAAATATTTCAAGCTCACGTTTGTTCGTGAGCCGTTCGAGCGCATCCTGTCGGCATACAAAGACAAGTTTGTTGATCCAAGATTTCCCCTTCCAATGCTTCAATATCACGGCAGAGCAATTCTGAGAACCGTTCGTCCAAACGCGTCCAAGAGCGCACTTGATAAACCTTATGACATCACTTTTCGTGAATTCATTGAATATTTAGTAACCGAAGGAAGCAGCAAGAGTACCCCTGTTATGGACTGGCACTGGGACAATTACGTCAACATATGTGGAATGTGTGCCGTCAACTATGACTTTATAGGTCATTACGAAACTTTCGATCAAGACTTGGCGGATTTCAAAGTGGCAGCGGGATTATCGCCTGAACAGGCAAAGAAATTCAATGCTCGAGCCAACAATAAATCCAGTACCGCCTCCTCTATGCTCAGTTATTACTCGAAAATTCCCACAAAATGGATAATGGATCGACATCCTTGGGCGCTTGTACAGAGCCAACTTTGAGATGTTTGGATACAACTTCCCGGGACCTCTTAAGAGTCTTTTGTAGTAAAGGAAGAGAAAATAGTACGTACGTTTCCGTTTTTAGGCATCGTTTTAATACTTGGAATTTTTTCAGAGATACCGCAATGTAGTTTATTGGACAATTCCGTCACGCAAGGACTTTACTGAGTGTAATAATCATTGCTTAAGTTTACGTTTTAGGGTCAGTTTTGTATCAAGTTCTTTCCGTTTTTACTACTAATCATGTAAAGGAATCGTGTAAGACTAGCTATGTTGGTGCCCCATCTCTGCTAAGACAGTGAACATCGTTCGAGGTGGCGGAACACTCCTCCTTTCTTCTTTGATATGGCATCATAACTTTATGGGTACTTAGCACTCTGGTTCCTTAAGTCCGTTACGTTGAGATACTTTGGGGCAGTTTAAGCCATGTTTGAAGTATGTGTCTCACGCGCACCACGAAATTCTCAGTTGTTTGAATAATTCTCTTCATTTCTTAATTAAACACTTGGTAGGCTGTGAAAATAGAACGGATGAACCGTCAAGTAGTCGATGTGGAGAAATTTGATAAGTTGACTTGTGGTAAATATAGTCCTACTCAGGCACTAAAATAAATGTACGTTGCAAAAGCTGAATGGTTAGACTTTCGAACGTTGAGAAATACCAAATACATCGATGAAGTCTTTTTTCGGGTCATGCGATTTTACTACTTTTGAAAAGAAAGAGGGCCGCAAAACGGAATTTTCCGATCTTAACAACATCAGAAGAAAAACAATAACAACAAAGAACAACAACAAAAAAAAGAAAGAAAGAAAGAAAGAAAAGCAGGTGATTTCGAACATGACAGTCAAAAGATGTCGAGGAGAATGGCTGTCTAGAAGTGCAGCCAATCAGTTTGCAGGTGCCATAAAGTCTTCCTGAGAAACGTAATAAGCTCTAGGTGTAATAATTCATATTGTCTTGAAATCTATACTTTATTGGTTCCAGCTTACATAGGAAGCTGAGCTGTAGAAATGTTATTGCCTCGATCCAATACTGATGATAGCAAAGCAACTTCCGCTGGGCCATTAGATTAACTTCCGGGTAAAATTTAAGTTAGTCGTAAACGGTCGTCGCCATATTCGCGACACTTAAAAATTGTTGAATTATCGTTGATTTTTTTCTACCCAATTGAAGAAAAAGAAAAGCTGTAAGCCGCCACACAGTATCTAACCCAGAACTTATCACATACCAACATCCCTCTCGTAACAGTTCACCTTCANCCCCCCCTCCCTCCCAATTTTTAATTACAAAAGGTGACTTTCTTAGTATCTTTTTACCTATGGCATTGCCCTAACTAATAATTAAAAAGTTAACCGTAAGCAAACTAGTATGAAAGTGAACAATTAAGCATTTGGTGAGTGGGTATTAGTCTATTAGCAAATAATAAACAGTTTTGACGTAGTCCAGGCCTATGCTAGAGCAGGTATGGAATCGTCCATTCCAAAAAGCTTGGTTACCAATTATAGCATCGACCATTAAAAATGGCATCACCTCTTATTTTTAGCAAACAAAAACAAAAACTACACTTTTCGCACACGTGTGTTTCTGTTCCCGTTTTTCCTTTTTGTTTTGTTTTGTTTGTTTGTTTGTTTGTTTGTTTGTTTTTTTTTTGTATACTGTTTTTTCCTCAACTTAGTTAGTTGATGGTTTGTTAATAGTGTCAGTGTATTTTTGTACTTGGATTAAATTAAGAAAAAGATGACATATTGTATTTTAGAAAATTAATCATTGATTAAAAGAAAAAACGGTGTTAGACTGAATCAAGTGTTTTTTGATTTATTTGTTTTTTTCATTTGTTTGTTTTTTGTTTTGTTTTTTTCTGCTTTCGCTATGACAGCAGCTTGTAAATCTTACCTAGAATGAAATGCAGAAACTCCTTGCCGCATGTTTCATTTATTTAGGTATATTTATACGAGGTACGTACAGGGGTTATACCTCTCGTAATATCATATAGTAATATCATTAGGTCTCCGCTGGGGTAAAAGCAGGGGCTATACTTTCAGCTATATATGCAGTTGTTATAGTTGCCACAGATTTTGTGACCTGTTAAAGTACACACCCTGATATAAGCAGGGGTTATACCAGTACGATTAAATATATTTGCATCGACCGCTCACTACGTACAGCATTTACTTGTCCGGGTTTCAGCCGGTGACATAGTTTTAGTCTTAAGTAACACACGCGCTGTCCGCAAGAGCGTTGACGCCTCGGCCATAACGTGATGGTTGTCTTCTAATCTCATCTTGCGAAGGATCTCGGTCATGGCTACCCCATATCTCAATTTTTGCTTTGTGACAGAAAACACTGTTCGTTTTTTGTACTCAGTAGTCTAATATCGATGTGTTGTGATTCTGTTAGCTTTGATTTCATTAAACCTGCCACAACCGT